AGCACGGTCCTCAGGTGCTGCTCATGATCTTCCTGACTCCGGGAATACACCAGGATATCTTCAATAAAGACAATGACAAATGAGTCAAGATACGGCTGGAACACACTGTGCATCAAATGCATAAAGGCTGCTGGGGCATTGGTCAGCCCAAATGACATGACAAGGAACTCGTAATGACCATTCCGAGTCCTAAAAGCAGTCTTCAGTATGTCCGGCTCTCAAATCTTCAACTGATGGTAACCTGAGCACAAATCAATCTTAGAAAATACTCGTGCGCCCTGAAGCTGGTCAAACAGATCATCAATACGAGGCAAAGGATAACGGTTCTTTACTATAACCTTGTTCAGTTGGCGGTAATCAATACACATAGGCATAGAACCATCCTTTTTCTTCACAAAAAAGATAGGAGCACCCCAGAGTGAAACACTGGGCCGAATAAAACCCTTATCAAGCAATTCATTCAACTGATCTTTCAACTCCTTCAACTCAGGAGGAGCCATACGATACGAAGGGTAGAAATGGGCTGAGTGCCCGATAACAGATCAATGCCAAAATCAATATCTTTATCAGGCGGCATGCTTGAAAGATCAGTTGGGAACACATCGGGATAGTCCCGTACTACTAGGACTGAATCAACTGAAGGGGTATCAATACTGACATTTCTCACATAGGCTAAATACGCGTCATACCCCTTCTCAACCATACGTTGAGCCTTAAGGAAAGAAATAACTCTACTGGGAGTGTGATCTAAAGTAACCCTCCACTCAACACGCGGTACACCTGGCATAGCCAGCGTTACGATTTTCGTGTGACAATCAAGTATAGCATAATGGGGCGACAACCAGTCCATGCCCAAGATAATATCAAAATCAACCATGCTGAGTAACAATAGATCGGCTCTGGTCCCAAAACCACTAAGAGCAACCAAACACGATTAATAAACGTGGTCCACAACAAGAGAATTTCCCGCAGGAGTAGAAACATAAATAGGGGAACTCAAAGAATCCCGAGATACACCCAAATGCGGAGCAAAATAAGAAGATACATAAGAGTAAGTAGAGCCTAGATCGAATAGAACCGATGTATCTCTGTGGCAAACCAATATAATACATATGATAATAGAATCGGAGGTAACAACCTCGGTATGGGCAGGAAGGGCATAGTATCTGGCTTGGCCTCCCCCTCGAGGGTGACCTCTACCTTCTCGACCTCCACCTCTAGCTGGTTGAGCAGGTAGAGTAGAAACTGGAGCTATCATCATAGCTTGAGAACTCTGCGGGGCACGTTGTGGCTGAGAAGTCTGTGGAGGTGCACTCCTCCCAAGTCTAGGGCAATCCCTCACCACGTGGTGTGTGTCATCACGCTCAAAACAAGCTCTGGGAGGATGTGGTAGCTGCGACTGGCTAGGGCTAGGTCTGCTAGACTGACCTCTAAAAGCACCCCGCAGAGGAGGCGCGCTAGAAACCGGAGGTGCATTATAAGGCTCCTGAGTCCTAGGAGGAGCTGGAGCACTACTGGCTATTGGAAGAGCTGAATGAACAGGGCGACTCATATAACCCCTACCATGACGACCTGTAGTTGGGGTACGGGCACAAGAATAATGGCCCGACTCTCGAGACCTCTTGGCCTCCCTGTCCTCTCTCTTCCTAGCATGCATACCCTCAATCCTCCTAGAAATGCTCACCACCTACTGATAAGAAATATCTATCTCCAACTCACGAGCCATGCTAGATCTGATGCAAGGAATAAGCCCCTCAATAAACCGGCAAACCCTCTCGCGAACAGTAGAAACCAAGGCTAGTGCATGCCTATCAAAATGGTGTAACATACAGCATATTCTGAAACAGTCATACCACCCTCGCACAAATGCTCAAACTCTACGTGCCATGCATTCCTGAGGCTCTGAGGAACATACTCCCTCGGGAACAAATCTGAAAACTAAGCCTAAGTCAGTGAAGCAGCCTCATCTAGACTGTCTAACTCATAGGTGCGCTGCCACTCATAGGCGGCTCCTCGAAGCTTGAAGGTAGTGAAAGAAACCCCGGTCGATCCTGAGATACCCATGGTATGAAGAATGCGGTAACACTCATCAAGAAATCCCAGAGCATCCTCCGATGCTAGACCACTGAATACAGGAGGCTTGTACTTCTTGAACCTCTCAAGCCTGAACTGCTCATCCTCGGAAGCCGTTGCCCTATCCTCGGGCTGAACTGACACTGTAGATGGCACAGGGATAATCTCAGGGACCTGCTCTACATGCACTCACTGCTCAGGAGTACGGGCGGTGAGACCCAGCCTGGGACGTAGCTGCAGCAAGGGGAAGCAACCCTGCTTGAGACAAAGTGATGTACATGCTCATAAACTGTGACGAGGCATGAGTACACCACAACGGTACTCAGTAAGTGCCAAGCCTAACCTCGGTCGGGTAGTGACGAGGAAGGTCAGGGCCCTACTAAGACTAAATAAATAATAAGATGACAAGATAAGATAAACAGTAAAATTGGGAATCTACAGTAAGAATCTATACAGGATAATAAGAGTATAATAATGGAAACAGAGATAAAGGCAACCACAAGGAAAGACCACTCATAGCAAGGATGATAACCGGGGGATGTCTTGGTATCTCGAGGATCTCTTGGTATCCTCAATATACATGCCAGGGATCTCTTGGTATTCCGAGGATCTCTTGGTATCCTCAATATATGATAGGGATCTCTTGGTATCCCGAGGATCTCTGGTATCCTCAATATATGCTAGGGATCTCTTGGTATCCCGTACCTCAGTCCAAACCATAAATACGTATAGGGGATCTCCCGGGATGCTGTCCCGTAGTCCCAAATTAAAACACACAGAAACAACACAAGAATACTCAACCAAATGCTAATTTCGTACCAAGTAAACAGTTAATTCTAGCCTAACATACTTCACGTAATGCAATTAAGGCAGTTTAAGCAAACAGACAATTAAGTCAACTAAACATGTTTTTCTAAACTAACAACAGGCTAAATTCGCAAGTGGAAATAAGCAGGAAAAAGGAACTCAATTGAAATAGTTAAAGTAAAAACTGGATTTTCAACAATTAGATCAAGTACGCACTCATCACCTCACGTACAAGGCATCTCAATTATTATATATGTCATATCCTAAGGGAAAGGTCCCCCACACAAGGTTAGACAAGCCACTTACCTCGAACCATCTCAAAATCAACCCGGCACCACGTCTTTGCCACGAGGTTTTGACTCCAAATGACCAAAATCTATTCAATTCAATTGCATAATGTAAGTAACACTTCAAGTAACTGATTCTACAATTAAAGTCTAAGCTAATACGCGAAATTATGTAAAAAGACCAAAATGCCCCTCGGGACCACGTCTCGAAATCGGGTGAAATTTACATTTTCAAAAATCTCGTACTCGCATGAGTCTGTACATAATAAGAACACTGAATTCAGAGTCCAAATGACCCCTCAAATCTTCATTTAAAGGTCTCTTAAACTCAAGCCCTAATTACCCATTTTTCCCAAGTTTTTCATCACTAATTAAGTCTATAATCACATAGAAACGAGTTATGAAGTCAAGGATGTTACCTCCAAGCGATTCCCCTCGAATCCTTCTTTTATCCCCTTCAAAGAGCTCCAAAAACGATTAGAAATGGTGGAAATAAACCCCCAAGTCGCGGAACCCCTTTTAATATAATGCCCAGCAGTTTCCACATCTGCAGTCAAGGGACGGCATCTACGGTCCCGCTTTTGCGGAACAAATATCGCATCTGCGGCTTTCACTTAAAGAGCCAGCTTCCGCATCTGCGACTCCCAATCCGTAGATGCGGTACCGTTTCTGCGGTTCCTAAAGAGAAGACCAAAATCCTCTTCTGCGGCCCCTTAGCCGCTTCCGCGGCGCCACACCTGCTGTCCCTAAACCACAGATGCGAAGAAACCAGAAGCAGCAAAAAAATACAGCAACTGCAACATTTTCTCAAACTTCTCGTTAACCATCCGAAATCATCCCGAGGCCCTCGGGACCTCAACCAAAAGCAAAAACATCACCTAATACCTTACTCAAACTTGTACCAATCCTTAAAACACTTAAAACAACATCAAAACCTCGAATTAACCAAGGATTTAAGCCTAAGAACTCCAAATTTCCTCAAAATACGCTTTCGATCAAAAAGTCTATCACAACGTGTCTGAATGACCTGAATTTTTGCACACACGTCACATTCAACACTACAGAGCTACTCCACCCTCCGGAATTCCATTCCGACCCTCGGATAAAAATCTCACTATCGGACCGAAAACTTCAAAAATTCAACTTTCGGCATTTCAAGCCTAAATTAGCTGCGGACCTCCAAAACACAATCCGAATACGCTCTAACCCTGAAATCACCCAACGGAGCTAACGAAACCATCAGATTTCCATTCCGAGGCCGTCTTCACACTGTTCTGACTACGGTTAACTTTTCCAACACTTAAGCTCTCATTTAGGGACAAAGTGTCCCAAAACTCTCCGAAACTCAAAATCGAACATCCCGGCAAATCGAAATAGCAGAAATAAACTTTGGGAAAGCAGTTAATAGGGGATCAGAGAGTTAATTCTTAAGACAACCGGCCGGGTCGTCACAAAAATTATTTTAAATAGTTTTGACCCTTTTACTTTATTTTATCACAAAATGAAAATTACAAAAATATTTCTTATTTTTAGTTGCTTTTAGTTTATATACTTTCGTAAATCTAAAAAAAATACAAAAAATAGTACCTTATTTTTATTTTTATATAATCTTGAAAACACAAATATAGTTTCGTGTTTTAATGTAATTTAAGTTTAATTAATTAAAATTAGTTTTATATTATAAATTGTATATTTAGAAGGAAGAGTTAGTTTTGGGTTGGTTTATCCCATTTTAATCTTGTAGTCCATTTTTTTTATTCTTTGGCCCAATAATACCAAATCCATAACTCCTTAACCTAAAAACTCTTTCTATATAACCAGCAGATGAGCCTAAAATACCTAAAATCCAAAACCTAGAGCTAGCACAAGACCTAGATGCCTAAAAATCCAATCCGCCATTTTTGAGAAAAAGGACGATCCCATCAGATTTTCGTTCATCTGCTTGAGAGTCCAAAAACCTTGGGTTTCATCTCCTTCATGGAAAAAGTAACCTAAACCTAAGACCCTTAAGGATCCGTTATGCTTCTTCCTCAACAATAAACCAAGGAAACCCATCTTCTTCAACGAAGGGCAGCAGCGACCAGACACCAACCATCGCCGCCGCTGACCACTTTCTTCTTCTTCATCTTGCCGGTGATGACCTCCTCCAATTCCAGCCAGCAATCAGCTGTTGTTGAACACCATGAACGCATCTGAAATAACCACCAAATAACAGCTTCACGAATTTCAGCCCTTCAGTCAATCTTTTGTTCGTGGGATTTTATTTTCGGTGATATCTCATCAATTGTTGGTCGAGATTCATCGAGGTTGCTGGCGCCATCTTCGATTTGTGCCGATTTTGGGATCTAATATGAGATTCCAGCAGCAGTAGTTGTCAACTTCAGTCATCGTTGGAGAGTCGAGGTCCTTCGTTGAGTCTTGGTTGCGATTCTTTGCTCGAAATTGTTTCAATTTTCGTATTGGATTTCAGATCTGAGGTCAGATTTTACTCCTGTCTTTTCTTAAAATTCAATCAATCAATTTTAAATTCGTAGTTGGGGTGTGCTAAAATTCGTTGCTGATTGTTCGTTCCCGAATGAATTACTGTTCAAATTGTTTGGATCCCTTCTTGTCGTAGTATTGTTGTGATGAGAACCAGTTGCTCGACTATTTAGGAGCATGTGTTTGGGTAAGATTTTATTCCTTCCTATACTTGTCTAGTCTAATTCCATGTGAAGAATGTATTCAAAAAGTTTATTTGGCCTCATTAAGAGTGATGAGTAAATTGTGCTTTGCTTGAAAGTTGATGGACAATCAGTGAAATCTTGAGTTCAAATTAAGTGCCATGGAGTCTGTTTCGTTCATGGAGTTAAACTTGGTTTTATTTCTCAATTGTGAATTTGCTCTTATCAAATAGTTTAAAGCTCTCAAAATGGAATACCCAGCATTACATTGCTCTTCCTTAATCGTATTTTAAAGGTTCTTTCGTAGTGATTAGTTTAAAAAAAAAAAAAAAGAAGAATATCCTTCTCCTTCAAAATACATGTTAGTTCTGGTCATATGTTCTCTTATTTTATTGTTCGTAACTTTCGTATTTCACTTACTTTGGATTATCTTTGTTCTTCTTTGCTTGGTTATCTATTTTATATGTTTGTGTGGATGATTGAATTGAAATGTTTCTAATGACTAAATTAGGCGCAACAATCTTAATAATGATTAATAAGTTCTTTTGTGATTGTGTACACGTTCGCGTGACATAATTAAGATTCTACAAACTAATTCGGAGTATGCGTTCGCGCAACATCGATCAAACTTTCTTAATAATAAAATTGTTTTAATAGGTCGCTAATTTAAATTTAGTTTATATAGTCCGAAGTATGCCATCCATGATTTAATCATACATGACCCTCGTATTAATTTCATAACCTAGATATAAAAATGACAAATGTTCGTAGTTTGCTTTAGGCACATCTAAAATACCATCGTAGTTGCGTACACGTTCGCGTGACGTAATTTTGATTCTAAAAACAAAACCGGAGCATGCGTTCGCGCAACTTTGGCCAAACTTTCATAAAAATAATAAAGCGTTATTACTTGTGGACACGTTCACATGACATGATTTTTGACGCGCCAAACAAATGGGTAAACGTACGCGTGACTTGTTTAAAGATAATTTCTTAATTAAAAGAGGCAAATGCACATAGGTTCTAAAATCAGTAGTTAAACAATTTTAATAAGCCAAGTATGATCAAAGCGACCGTGCTAGAACCACGGAACTCGGGAATGCCTAACACCTTCTCTTAGGTTAACAAAATTCCTTACCCGAATTTCTGTGTTCGTGGACCGTAAATAGAGTCAACTTCCTTAATTCGGAATTTTAAACCTGTGACTTGGGATACCATAAATTATCCCAAGTGGCGACTCTGAATTTAATATAAATGATCCCGTTTCGATTGTCACTTAAATTGGAAAAAACTCCCTAGTACCTCCTCTCGGGGTGATAAAGAGGAGGTGTGACAACTCTGGCGACTCTGTAGGAGACAACTACCCAGAATCTCTAATTCAGGTTCAAGAATTCGAGCTTGTTAATATTATTTTTACTTAGCTTTATTTATTGTTGATATTACTGTATTTTGTGAACGTTTTGTGCTAACTGTTGTCTGTTTACCACTTTGATATTATTTGAATTGTACATAACTGTCTTCTTATGCCACCTCTCTAAGTCTTCTAAAAATGGTGCACATGTTCGGGCGACCCGCTTTTTCTGTAGGAGTTATACCAAATAGAACAAGGCTAGGCCAGCAACAAGGCTGGATAAACTTCAGTGCTCCCGGTACGTTGCCCCCTCTTTGGCTCGAGTTGTCCGCTCGGGTAAGCCAGGTCAAGAACACAACTCCAGGTTTTAAAACCTAGAAAAACACAGCCTCATGCCGGATCCCTAGTAGGAACATTTGTTTGAATCACGTGCATTTGACTTTGAGGACTCAATACAAGGGTTGGTCCGTCTATGACAGGTGTACCCAAAAATAAAAGACCATCCTGATGCATCCTATGTGCTACATACTACATTTCTTCCAGGGTAAAAGGGTCATTTGGTGGACCAATGATGACTGAGGGTAAATGAGGAAGAAAAGAGGGTGAATTGTGAAAATAAAGCAAGTAGGGCACAATTATTTTTTCTGTCACGTTTTGTTAAGAAAAAGACAAAAAAAAAACATGAAAAATTCAATAAAAAAAAGGATTTTGCACTTTTTCATCATTTTTCGAAAAAAAAGAGGTAAAAGAAAATCCAAAAAGAGTTTAGGTCCTTAACTTTATTTGATCTTAATTTTCTAATACAGGTGTGGGTCTATTTATCGGAGTTTGAGCACGACAGACACCCCGGGACCATCTAGTTAGGATCGCTCATTCAGGAATAGCTTAAAGATATTTTTTTTATTTTGTTATGTTTTGAGTCCGTTTTTCATTTTATGTCATCTTTTTTTTCTAGTTTTGTACAGTAATGTCGAGTCTTTTGTTATTGTACTTTCTATTTTGTATTTGAAAAAATGTTTTAAAACTCAAAAATCCAAAAAAAAAAAAAAAATTTGCGTTTTATATTTCTGTTAGATGTTTTCTTTAGAATACTAACTCTAGATGTTCAAAAAATTCTTTTGTGGTTTTTCTTAGGAAATTAATATCTAGAACTCAAAATAAAAATTGCTTTAATATCTGCTTTAGTACATTAAGACTAAAAATTCAAAAAAAAAAAAAAAAAGTTTTCTTTAAGGTATTAATTCCAAAAATCCAAAAACAATTTTCTTTTGAGGTTCTTCTTTGGGAAATTAATGAAAAATAAAAAAAAATTCTTTTTATTTTCATTAGAACTTTAGGATATTGTACATAAAAGAAAAAAAACATACTTTATCTTTTATTTATATTTAAAGTTTCTTCCTTAGGTAATCAAAAACTGAAATCCAAAAATATTTTTTTATCTTGTTCATTTATCATTTCGAAATACTTCTTCAGGGATATCAAATGAAAATTCAAAATATTTTCTTTGGTTTATTCTTTAGATTTCCTTCCTAAAAAAACAATCAAAAAATATTTTTCTCTTCTTGGGGTTTTTCCTTAATAATTTCCCATATAGTATTTGTTTCAAAAATAAAAAAAGGAGAGAAAACAAATATGCTCATTAAGCTTGAATTTATAATAGGTTATAAAATATTAAGTCTAGAAAATTAAAAAAAAGAATTTGCTTCTTTTATTTTTCTTTTCCCATTAGAGTAGTCATTAAGGTAAAAAGAAAAAAAAAGAAATAGAAACTGAGAACGTTAGTTTGTTTACTTTATTCCCGATTTTCCCGAACTACGATAAGATCTGATTCATGCGGCGTCATGATACATAGGCAACCTACATAGGGTTTGATCGAATCATTTTTTTAGTTTAAAACAAAAGAAGAAAAAAAAAGATAAAAGAAAAGATGAAATTATGGGATGTGAGAAATGAGCGGAAAGAAAAAAGTGATAATTAGAAAAAAAAAAAGGGAAGGAAAATGAGTAAGCCAAGAAGTGCTAGAAAAGAAAAGAAAAGAGAACATTCAAATGGACAAATTGGGATGATGTCAAGTGGCCTTGTGACCCTCGAAGTCATTCTTGAACCATTAATTGTGACTAAGTGCATTGCACATAATGTGAGATTATCTTATGTTAAATGCTCTAACACTAACGTGATGACTTCATTTTATTCCTTTTGTTATCTTCATTATAGCAGAAGGGTGGTTGGTTTGTGGTTCTTAAAGTGGTAACTCTTCTCTACAACATAAGGTCGAAAGGCAATGGCAGACGGCAACGGAATTGGGTCGGTTGATACTGGTGCCCAAAAGCAATTGGTTGAACAGGGCAACGGGTTGGTTGAAGAGGTAAGGATGTTAAGAAAACACATGACAAACATGTATTAGGCTTGGATGACTGGGAAGGCACCACCCCCGCCACCACCTAGCTTCTTAGATGCTACCCTTACCCAAACTCCGGTCATGGTGCCAGATGATCCCCCATACCCTCCAGATCCACCCGCTTATCACAGCTTTCCCAACCAACCTAGTAGCTCCATCACTCGTCCTGCAATTACCTTTTCCCAAAATTGCCCTCCTGTCATATCCACTATCCCCATAATCACAACTTCTCAACAATCTTCCCTTCATATATCCAACAATGAACACCCACTCAAAGCTTATGATTTCCAATATTACCCCTCAGAGGTTGCCCACAAGGTTCCTGACTTATACAATCAGAACGCTCGGAATGAGCCTTATGTTGAAAATGAAAAATTCACAGGAAAAGAAGGGCGAGATGAGATATCCAGGAAGCTGAAAGGTATAGAAGAGTCCTTAAGGAGCATGTAAGGGATGGGAAATCACATTAACATGTTTTACAATGACTTGTGTATGTTCCCTGATGTTCATCTGCCCGCGGGGTTTAAAATGCCAAAGTATAACTTGTATGATGGGCGTGGAGATCCAGTGGCCTATCTGAGGGGTTATTGCAGTGAAATGAGAAGTGCTGACAGGAAAGATGATTTGTTGATGACATATTTCAGTGAGAGCTTGACTGGGGCAGCCTTAGAATGACATACACGTCAAGATGTCAGTAAGTGACATACATGGCATGACATGTCTCAAGATTTTGTTTGACACTTTCAATACAATATAGAAATTACCCCAGACCCCTCCTCCCTATCTAAGATGGAAAAGAAATCGGAGGAAAGCTTTAGGGAGTTTGAGCTCAGATGGAGGGAACATGCTGCTCGAGTCAGTCCCCCGATTGGTGAAGAAGAAATGGTTGAGCTTTTCCTACAATCCCAGGGGCCCACCTACTTCAGTCATTTGATCCCGACCTTGGGTAAACCTTTCAATAATGTGGTAAAAATAGGGGAGGTGGTAGAAGAGGGAATCAAGTCAGGCAAAATCATGAGTTATTCGGCATTGAAAGATACTACAGAAGACATTCAGAACATCTCAGTAAGTTTGGCTAAAAGAAAGAGAAATAGAAAAGATTTTGTTGAGCCGCGCCAACGACAAGATCCGGTGGGCATTCCTGCTCAACGCTTTCAACCTCGATACCGACCCCATGGATATCCTTGTAATCCTCCCCAATTCTAATTCTCTCCACAAAACCCCCAAAGTCGTACATCACCTTCCCTGTACTCCGTCCACAAAGCACCACTATATGCTCCACATCCATAGGACCCGCGATGGCCTGCACTATTTTTGCAAATATCTTACCCGCCTCCTCAAACATCTCAACCACCTACCTGCAAAAGGTTCCAACTGAGGAAAGAGTACAAAATCAAAAGGCAATAGAAAAAAGAAAAGACTTTCACTCCTATTGGAGAATCATATGCCAGTTTATTCCAAAAATTGAGGCAACTGGACATGCTAAAACCGGTTCAGATAAAAATGTCAAACCCTCGTCCAAAGAATTTTGATTATTCTCAAAGGTGTGCATATTGCTCTAATGCCCTGGGTCACAACACGCAAAAGTGTTGGCATCTGAAAAGAGAAGTTCAGAAGCTTATTAATGCAGGTGACATTGTCGTGCAAAATTCAAATGCAGTAGACACTAGCCAAAGTCCATCGCCTGTTCATAATGAGACGCATATGGTGGGTATGATTTGTATTGAAAAAGAATATTAGAATTCTTTTGAGATCCTCAAAAGGCCACTGGCCGCAAAGCTTTCAGCGCTATCACTCTTGGTTTCGGAAGTTGATCCTAAGAACGAGCCGGCAAAAGGGACCCAAAAGCAATTTTCTAAGGACAATACGATGAAGACATGTGAAGGTCCTAGTACTGTTGATGAAGAACTCAGTGACTAAGATGTTGAGCTTGGTGATTGGAAAGATGCTCCTTTCTTGGCTAGTCAGGGAGGAGTTTCTGGTGGTTTATTTTGTTATCATTTCTGTTGTCTGGGTTATTTCAGGGTTGTAATCTGGATATTGTCTTAAGACTCAAACCCTTCTATCCTTTTATTTTTCCTAGCTCAATTAGTCGTAGTAACTCGTTTAATGTTATGTAGGTTTGTTCCAGGATTATAACCCCAGTTTAGTTTGGTTGATTTGTTGTTCGAACCGTTTCACTGTCTGTCTAATGCAATTTTCTATTTTCTGTTATTTCTAGTAATTTTTGTTTAGTTCTCTTTTTCTTTATAGTTTTATTCCTGTTGACTCTAGTGACATGACATGCACGTGTAATTCGCAACCTGGTCTTAAAAACTAGTTTAGTCATGAAACGATGAAACAATTTTAAAAATGATAGGGACACTTGAGGGAAATAAGTACAGATTTCGACATTTTGAGATCATTTGAAGCCCATACTGTGTGAAATTAGGGCAGATAATTTGGGAAGTTAATAGGATGACAAGAATTCATTAAAGGAGAGTGCATCCCATACAATTTGAAGCGAGCAATTTTGAGTTCAAGTGCACCTCAATTTACAAGACAAATTCAAGGGAGTTTGCTCCAAACAGACAGAGGGTATCCATCGTGAAGAAGAAATCACCCAATGAGAGTTCTGTACTTGACAAGGCAGTAAAAAAAGGGTGGAAAGCATATCAGTGATATCAATGTTGAAGCTGTAAAAAAATGTTCGGTGCTCTTCCGTTTTCATTTCAAGTTGCATGTGTCGTACTTGGCATTTTCAGGGGTTGGGAGGCCCTCTTTTAGCTATCCAAATACTTTATACCCTTTGGTACCCCTTTTGAGCCTGTACTGATTTATTTGACCTCCACTCTTTTGGAATCAAGTTAGAGTTATACAAAATAAAAAAGAATTCATGTCCCATAGGTTTATCTTAGAAAGTTCATTCCAAAAGGAAAATTCAAAAAAGAAAAGAAAAATAGAGATAAAGAAAAAATAAAAAATGAAAAAAGAGAAAAAGAAAAAAAAGGAGGGAAAAAGAAAAAAAAGAAAAAAAGAAAAAGGAAAAGAAAAATAGCAACAACAAAAAGTATCTTTTTGAACTACATTTGACCTGATTCTTGTCACCACAAGATACGTAGGCAGCCTTATGGTTCGGTCATACCAAATAAAATATTTCATAATCCTACGAATTCGAACGTGGAGCAGTCTTTCTTAGTAACTCCATCAAAAGAAAAAGAAAAAAAGAATCAATGTAAAGCCCCTGAAAATTTTGCTAAGTAATTTAAGATTTCGTGGTGCCAAGGTAGGCTAATTATTTTATCTCGCGTGCAAATGAGGATTCATGATATAATGGATATCAA